GACCACCTATCCAAATAAAAGAAAAAGTGAAAGAGACTCCACTTGCGAATGTATGGACCTTCTGGGACCACCTTCGTGAAGGCGTGAAGCATCGCAGCCTTGATCTCGAAAGTATACTCGGCCTCCTGCAAAGGACCAAGCACGCTGTTGAGAGATGCCCTTTCACTGGGAGCTGGGATCGCCATGTTGTGGAATGTCAGTATCAAGCTGTGACAGAAGGCCTCAAGGCCAGCCAGACGGTTTTTCAGATGAAGGCGGGGGTCTGCCGTTGAAGGATGAAGGCACCGACAGAGCGGATGGCCAAGATGTGAGCAAGCAGTTGTATGAGGAGTTGCTCAAGCGATTGCGCGAGGAGTTTCCGATTCTGTACGAAGGCCCACAAGGGACCGACAGTATGCTAGAACTGTCAACAGCCACAGGATGGACAGCCTGGGGGATACAGATCATGTCCACGCTCTTGACAGCAGTTCTCGTCTTGATGTTGCAGGTCGAGGAAAGCGCAACTTTTTATTTGAAGCCCTGCGAAAGCTGCACCATGCCCGTTAAAGTCCCGGGACGTGAAGAGCCGCTTCCCACGTCTCGGAGTTTCTGTGTGGTCACATTTTATGTGATGTGCGTGACGACGTATACCTGGTATCGTTTCCTTGGAAAAGTTCTGAACATGACATGCGTGGAGATGACGGAGAACCGTCGGCCAAGATGAGCAGAGCTTGAAGAAGAAGCTGGCAACGCGCCTGACAACGGAAAGGCTGCAAAGGCTGCAGTTGGGAAGCTGTGGAGCTTGCTTGGATTTGCAAAAGCCTCACCATGCAGAAGCTTGGTGGAAGTTGCGGATTTACATCCAGAAGGATTTCCTAGACGAGACAGTGGTTGTGGAGATTATTGGCGTGATCATATTCATGCTGATGCTGCTATTCTCTGTTGTTAGCTTGCTGAACTGGTTGGAGAACCATTCCTGGTCGTTTCCCCTGTCGCTTCTGTTTCTGCTCATTTCTACACTTTTCTTTGTATTGTGGAGAGTCTTTGAAGAGTGCGTGGCAATCAACATCCTATGGGAGAACGACAATCGGGTACTATCCGTGGCCACACTCGAGGCGATGCGCTCGGCATGCAGCTCCAAAGACCCCCGGACTATGGAACGACATGCGTCTCTGCTTCGAGCGATGCAGAACAAAGTCGCGGTCGTCGATAACCGACAGGAGCTGTTCGGATTAGTGGTCACCCGAAGCCTGCGAAATGGCTGGGTGCTCACAGCCTCGACTTTGATGTTGTCTTTTGCATTGCAGATCACAGAGCCTCTGATTCTGAATGGCCTTCTTCGACATCATCTTGAGGGATTGCTGGACCTCATCGACGGCATGTTCAACAACGCTGCTGTGGAGTGACCATGCAAATGTCCAGCGAAAACAGACACCTCCACGTTTGCACTCACACTCACGGAGCTTGTGTTCAAATAAACCACTCTCTTCCTCTCGCTATATACATATTATGTGTATATCTATACACATAACATTTATACAGACCCGTACGTATTCAAGTATGTATGTATGTATGT